GCAGGGGAGAAAATACGGGAGAAAAGGGGGGCCCAAGCACCTACGAGTAGCCTGGAAACAGCCTGAAGTCATTCTTCAACCCCCACCCCGAAACCCAACACTGACAGCGGATCCTCACCCGGGAGGCCGCTCCGCTCCGCTCCGCTCCGCTCCCGAGGCGGACTGGGAGGCCCGGGAGCCACCTCAGCTGCAGAGGGACCTGAGGCTCCCCGCTGCCCGAGGGAGCAGGAGGCCCAGACTGGCAGCAATGGCAGCTGGGCGGGTACAGAGCATAACGTCTTTGGGGGCCGGTCTTTAGTCTGTGCCCTCTCTGCTAACCCAGGAGCAGGAGAGGTTGGCCTGCAGGAGCCTGGGGTCACCTATTGGCAGGGCCAGCTTTAGTGGGGCCCATGCAGGAGGCCAGAGCACACCCCTAGGAAGGGAGAGGGGTTCTTCCGATTCCTCTTCATGCTGCTGGAGCTTCCTGAGAGTATTGTGACCTGGCCACCTCTCAGGAGGCAGATTACAACAGCAATCTCCACCTTTCTAGTCAGAGAACAAGAAACACCCAAACTGCGTGTCCCTTGCGCCAGGACCCAGCCTTTGCAGGAGGAGCCGATTGGGAACCTCAGAGGCTTTGCATCTAAGTCCCCGTGTCCAGCTCTTCTGGACAGTCTGGGTGAGGAGGAAGCTCGGAATCCGTGTGCCTGCCACAGAGGCAACTGGTGCCAAGGCAGGGAGCCAAAATGCACCAGCTTTTCCCTGTCCTCCCCGCCCAGGGACCGGGGACCAGGGACCCAGGACCCGCGCTGAGGCTGTGTGCCGTGGTCCCAGTTCCTGCCGGCAGGGCCCTGCGTTCCCACAGTTAGAGCACTCAGGGGACCCGGCCCACGCCTCACAGGCCACCACACCCTTCCCCACATCTGGAGTGCATCAAACAGTGCTCTCAGTTATGCAAGAGGTCAAGCAGCTGGGAGCTCGGCAGAGGGGGAGGAAGAGAGAAAAACAGAAAGCAGCTTTCCAAGCATGCTTCAGACTTTCCTACGTGGAGGCGGGGCGGGGCGGGCCAGGCTGAGCGCCCAGGGAGAGGGTGTTTTGGGCCCTGGCGCTCCGCAGTGGATGTCCACACCCTGCCTTTGCCCCGGCACATGGCCCACCCTGTCCCTCCTCTCAAAAGGTTCTTCTAGCCCGAGAAGTGGACTGCTCCTCACAACAAGTAACCCCTGGAGTCACACACCCACCCAGCCGGTCTCTTCTGGCCTCTGCATGGGTATTAGTGTAAGTGTGACGCCCAGTAACTCCTCACCACACCCAAGTTGGGGAAAAGTCAGACATTTTCAGCAGCTGCAAGGAGCTCTCTTTTCAGCTCTTCCTCGGACCTGCACAGCCCACTTCCACCTGGAGCTACATCCCAGCGGCGTGGGATGGACAGAAAACTGGTCTTGCCTACCTCCGTGGCTCCTCTAAGTTTGTTAGGACCTTCCTAATAAGCCTTTATTTGGGCAAAAGAATGGGAATTAGACCTATTTCCATTTCTCTGTCTTGAATTGGTAATGCCTTTTTCAAACAGCCCTCTTCGGTGATCAGCCTATCGCACTGCACCTACAGAAGCTTTCTGGAGCGGACTAAGCCCTCCACAACCACGCAGCCCCTGCAGAGGAAAAGCAAGGCCAAAAACACCCTTTTAGGTGGGGGTAGAGGTACTGGATAAACCCAAGATTCTAAAACTGCCTGGTTGCTTATCTGTGTTTGAGAGAGGGGCAACAGCTTTATTTTTTAAAATATTTTTTTATTGACTTCAGAGAGGAAGGGAAAGAGGGAAAGAGAAACATCAATGATGAGAGGGAATCACGGATTAGGCGCCTCCTACAGTCCCTCCCCCCCTCAAAAGGGACTGAGCCCGCAATTGACCTGAATCAAACCTGGGACCCTTGAGTCCACAGACCAACGATCTATCCACTGGGCCAAACCTGCCAGAGCAACAGATTCATTTAGAAATGGAGTCTTGCCCTGGCCGGGTGGCTTTTAGTTGTAGTTTTGCCCAATGAATGAATAAGTGGAACAACAAACTGTCTCGCTAAAAAAAAAGCCGAAACCGGTTTGGCTCAGTGGATAGAGCGTCAGCCTGCGGACTGAAAGGTCCCGGGTTTGATTCTGGTCAAGGGCATGTACCTTGGCTGCAGGCACATCCCCAGAGGGGGGAGGGTGCAAGAGGCAACTGGTCGATGGCTCTCTCTCCTCTGTAAAAAATCAATAAAATATATTTTTAAAAATCCATTCTTATCTTGCCTCCACGTCACTAACTCCCAGGGCAAATGAAACTGACGTTTGCAGAGATGCGGTCAGCCCTCGGGTGAGAGGACGGGCCAGATTGAAAGCTCTTCAGCTGCAAATGTTTCCCCAGAGAGGAGTGAAGGCTGCAGTGAGCGAGGCGCCCAGCAGAGGGAGTCAGTTCTGAACGCTGGCTTTCCTCTAACAAGCCTGCCCGGGCGCCCTGAGCCCCATTGGAGTACACCAGCTACAGGTGACACTTGTCTACCTTAGAAAGAAAGGCTGTGTAATCCCGGACTTTGCTTCTCGTTGGGATTTATTATATTCCAACTAGGAATGGATGGTTTTGGAATGTTTCCCTTCATTGGATTAAAGTTACAATCTCAGAGCCAAGCCACATGTCAGCAACGTTAGACCAGATACTTTTCAAGGGGGAAGAATTCAAAATCTTGGCTTCCACCATGAAGGTAAAACCTTTTGCATTCCACTTACTGTTCATTAGAGAGAAGAATTTGCCTCCCAATTTCCTGGTGTTCGATAGTTTTTCAAGTTAAATAAAGTGAAGCCTCTTCTGAGGGGATTATCAACAGCGCCAAGGTGTTCCTCACCCTGCTACTGCTTCCCGCCTACGGGGGAGGGGCAGGCTTACATGGAACCTTTATCTTCACAGAGGAGGCCCATTTCCTTAGTCTACAACTGCCGAAGGATTAAGCCCAACGGTCCATTGGTATTAGATCCACTCAAAGCTATTCCGGGGCGGTGTGTGTGTGTGTGTGTGTGTGTGTGTGTAAGGGTAAATGGGGGGAGGGACATCTGTAATACTTCAACAATAAATTAAAAGGCAATTAATGCTCTGAGTATTCCTCTTAAAAAATATATGTATTATTTTTAATCTTAGATCCCATTACATTATCCTGAATCTGAAAGTAGACACCAAAGCATAAGACAAGAATCTAATAAATTCATTTTATAATACTATTTATTTGATTAAAGAATTTTCCTTTTTTGTGTACACTGGAATGTTATATTCCCTATGTATTTTACAGGGTTACAAAACATCTCTCATTTTAAATAATACCCCAAAAGTAATTTCAGAAAAAAGTTTTTGTAAAACTAAACTTGACTTTAAAAAAATCATATGGACAAGCAACTCTCAAACAAAACTGGATTAGTAAGATTTGCCTATTTAACTACATGATAGGTTTCTTGTCCCAGGCTCCTTCCTAAAAAAAAAAAAAAAACCCAGAACACACAAACAAAAACCCCAGGTGGAAACCAAGCTGGAGATCAGGATTCTTCCCTGCATGGTCAGGGAAAAGGGAAAGGCCAGATGTTTCTTTGACAAACAACTCCGTCCGTGACCGTGGGTGAGCTTTGCTTCAAGTGCCGCACACTCTTCGTGCTGAGTGGGCGTGGAACTCTCCACCAGCGGACAGTGCCGTCACCCAGTCCCCTGCCTCCTCCTGCCTGTGGCTGCCACCCCAGCAGCTACACCAACCCTCTGGGCGCAATACTGAGCTAAAGGCCCAGCACGGCTGGCTGGTGTAGTCCTCTCAGTTAAAAAGCAATGGGTGAGATGGGGCTAAAAAAAATTACTACTACCTGATGACACTCACTGGAAAGGACTTGGAAGAGGAAATGGGTGGATTTCAGAGACAGGGCAGACAGGCTGGTGAAAAAGGCTGGGCAGGCCAGAAGTGGGAATAGATGTCAGCAATGTACACACGTCAGAATAATCAGCTGCCTTTGGAAATGCCAAAATCCTGGTGGCAACGCAGTTTCCTGGGTAGTTTAGGGCCAATGGAATTGCCACAAGGACTCTACTGAACACACTCCAAAATCATAACCTTGTCTCAGAGAAGGGGACTGATGACAGACAGCAGCCAGCAGGAGGAAGGTGGTGAACCTGAGGAGTATGAATGGATTCCAAAGACTGTGAGCTGCTATGCTGTAGGGGAAGTACCGATGTGGCAGCCCGGCAGCAGACAGGACCACCTGTGGCTGCGGGAGCCCTCGCTGGACATAGCCCTCCTCCCAGACTTTTTAGTGGGCTATGCCATTTGAAACCGTTTCTCAGCTCGCTCTAATATTCACAGAACTGTTCTCAACTGGACGGACCAGCCTAAAAGGAAACAACTTGCCAAAGGAGTGAAAGAATAAATGGATACAGAAAAAGAACATGAGACAGCCTCATCTTTTAACTTTTAAACTCCAAACACCTTAAACAATTCACCTGTATAGTCTAAAAATCAAGACTGGATTAGGTCAACTTGGTCTAGGAGTACCCAATAAATAGAACACTTATATACAGATGATCCCAGTGCTTGAATGTAGAGAAAGAAAAGAACTGAAGGTAAAGGGGTATGAAAGATTAAAATTTTCTGCAGAGAACTTTTAAAAACAAAGTAAGTATGAAATAGAACTATATATTTAGGGATTAAAATAGAGGAGCAGCGTCAGCCAGGCAGAGATGTTTAACGGGGGCATTCTCTGGAGCTTGCTTTCCTGTGGGCCAGCAAAACCTGCCAAAGAAACCAGCAGCCTTTCCCTTTGTGTCATTTCTTTGCCAGAGTGTGTCTGTGACATGAAACACTGAGAGTGAGCTGAGGGTCCTTGCGCGCCGAGAACCGTGCATACTAGAAAAAAAGGTCTCCAATGGCTTGTAGATTTGGGGAAAAAATTCTTCAGCCACTGTTGGCTTCTTCTTTATTAATTTGAAAGTTTTCCTTTTCGGTTTCCTCTTCTTGGTATTACAGGATTTCATACTTATCCACCAGGAAAGTGGTCTCTGTGGAAAACCTTACTGGGCTGTTCCCATCTACCTGGGTCACTTTGGTTACCTAGGAAAACAAACAAAGAGAAAGGTAAGCAGGAAGAGGAGCCTCCGAGGTGCTGACTAAATTTTTTTTTTTAATATATTTTATTGATTTTTTACAGAGAGGAAGAGAGAGGGATAGAGAGTTAGAAACATCGATGAGAGAGAATCATCCATCAGTTGCCTCTTGCACACCTCATACTGGGGATGTGCCCGCAACCAAGGTACATGCCCTTGACCGGAATCGAACCTGGGACCTTTCAGTCCGCAGGCCAACGCTCTATCCACTGAGCACACCGGTTTCAGCAGTACTGAATTTTCAGTTACAACAGATTGCATTTCCTCCAAGCAGTACTACAAGTGACTCAGAAGTGCCAAAAAACACACTTTAAGCTGCAGCTTACAGCATCACTCTTCCCCATCAACACGCTCAACCTGGCCTGGCCAGCATGGCTCAGGGGCTGAGCGTTGACCTATGAACCAGGAGGTCACAGTTTGATTCCCAGCCAGGGCACATGCCCAAGTTATGGGCTCGATCCCCAAAGGGGGCTGTGCAGAAGGCAGTCGATCAATGATTCTCTCATCATTAATGTTTCTATCTCTCTCTCTCTTTCCCTTCCTCTCTGAAATCAAGAGTGGCCACTGCCCAGATCCTGCCACATAAAATCTATGGAGTTCATAGACATTCTATCAGGATTCTCAACATTTGACTCCAAATGAAATAATGTAACTCTTCAAAATTGTTTGATTTGCTTTCAAAATCTAACTAAGCTGGCTTTCTCATACTTATTTTCTAGATAAAGCTGGATCTTCCAAATGAGATAGTCTTTTCTTTTTAGTAATAAAAAAATGTCTAGTTTACCCTATCCGGTTTGGCTCAGTGAATAAGAGTGATGGCCTGGGGACTCAGGGGTCCCAGGTTCGATTCTGGGGATGTACCTTGGTTGCAGGCATATCCCCAGTAGAAGGTGTGCAGGAGGCAGCTGATCAATGTTTCTCTCTCATCGATGTTTCTACTTCTCTATCCCTCTCCCTTCCTCTCTGTAAAAAAATGAATAAAATATATATTTAAAAATGTCTAGTTTAATGAATTATCTGTAACAACGGTGCCTATAATGGCACTAACATAATACCTGAACTACCCTGTTTCCCCGAAAATAAGACAGTATCTTATATTAATTTTTGCTCCCAAAGATGCTCTTATTTTCAGGGGATGTCTTATTTTTCCATAAAGAAGAACATGGTACACATTTATTGTTAAATGAAAATAAAGGAAATTTATTACCTGTATACGGTACGGTAGTATGGTAGTTGTCAACACAAACCAGATAAACTGTGAATCCTATAGTATGAAGAATTTACTCATTTACTCAATGACAATCATGTCATCATTTTCTGGAACATCATCATAACAATCCAATTCCTGAATTTCCTGGTGAATTTCTTGTGACTCCATTTCTTTCAGAATCAGTGGACCAAATCCCTCATGTTTAGCCTAGGGGGGGGGGCTTATTTTCGGGGGGATGCCTTATATTTCACTTAGAAGGAAACCTGTAAGTAGGTCTTATTTTCGGAGGATGTGTTATTTTCGGGGAAACACAGTATCTATATATATAAAAGCCTAAGCGACTGGAATGACCGAATGCTATGATGCACATTGATCACCAGGGGGCAGATGCTCAATGCAGGAGCTGCCCCCTGGTGGTCAATACGCTCCCACAGCCAACCTCCTGTGCTCCCTCCCCCTGGGTGGCCCCCAGGCTGGGACGGGAAAACAGGGTGGGTGGTGGTGCATGTGGCTTCTTTTCCAGGGGGGCCAAGAGCCAGCTCCCTCCTCCAGGCCAGCAGCCAACCTCCCATGTCCTGTCCCTTCCCTTCGCTGGGAAGCCCCAATCGGCCCACTGCCTGCCCATTGTCTATCCACCATGGTGACAGCACAGCAGTGAGGGAAGAGGGTTGGGGGGAGAAGGAGAAAGGGAACCATGCAGTGGCATGGTGCCAACGATGACAGTGTTGGCATCTGGCTCCATTACCATCACCTCTACATCAGCCCTGATTGGCCTGATCCCAATGGGCCCTGATCGCCAGCAAGGCCTAGGGACCCCACCCATACACGAATTTTGTGCACTGGGCCTCTAGTTAATTTATGTTTTCTAATGAGGTTTTGAGAGACCTATTATTCTGTCCTACTCTTCAAATGATCCCAAGCAGGAAAATGTACCCATTTCTATCTAATGTCTTGGGTTCAACAATGTGCTCCCAATACTGAGATACTTATGCCAATAACCGAGAGGGGAGAGAGAACTGCTCTTTGGAATCATCTAACAGAGGAAATTCTAAAAACTTCCTGAGCTCTTACAGGAGGTACAGAGACCATCTGGGAAGATAAGATAGTTTAAGAATAATAAGCAAATCAATGAGTCAGAGGGTAACACGGTAATATAAACTGGGTCCCTGTGATGCAAATTCAAAAAAGTGGAGGAATGAGTTAAAAACAACCCAAAGGAACAGTTCACAAATTTCTAATGCTTTGCCTACCTAAAGGACAAGATCTGCAACAGAACTGGCTCATGATAATAAAGTGAAGTTGTAAAATAAAAAATCCAAAAATTGTACCCATTTATATTATAGAATCACTTTTAGTAATTTTGTCTCCTTAAACAAAAAACTTTTTTATTCCTTGGGTTCAAACAAATGACAATACAAAGGCATTACAAAATCATGTGTAGGGTGTTTTGAAAAATAGATTTTAAGACCATATGGCATAGCTCAGTGTTTGAGCATTGATCTATGAATCAGGAGATCACAGTTTGATTCCTGATCAGGACACATACCCAGGGTTGTGGGCTCATTCCCCAGTGTGGGGCATGCAGGAGGCAGCCAATCAATGACTTTCTCTCATCACTGATGTTTCTCTCTCTAAAATCAATAAAAATATACTTTTAAAAAAAGTTTTTAAATGTATGATTTAAAATATAGACAACTAAGAGAGATAAATCTTACACAACCCGTAGTTTTAAAATAAATATTTATATCCAATACCTTTACTTTGTTTGATCTAGAGAGGAAAACTGAGGTAAAGGAGGTGAGAAACCTGGCCAAGATCATACAAGGAGTCAGCAATGGAATGGGCCGGGGACACAGCTTTTCTGGTGTTCTGCTCTGCCCATGAAGCCATGCTACCTATATGGCATCTGTCTTACCACTTTTCCCACATAGGCTCTCCAGAAAAATGGGGTACCTGTATGTTACAGTAATTTTTTTTGGAGATGAAGGAGACTTGGACAGGAAAGAAGTCATTGGGCTGCCCAGCAATGCTGAACTCGAGGCTGCCACTCTTATTTTTGGCATCAATCACTGGCAGGCACCACTCCAAGGTATTCCGTCGACTGTCATGCCGATACTCGCCATCGAGCTCACCAATAACCGGTGCGCCAACACCAGATCTGTCATGAGAAACATCCATGTCAGGTTAGTTGTCCAGAAAGAACCCTGCCAAGGAAAACCAGCCCCAAATTTGATGATGCTCCTCAAATTCTACCCACTTTCATACAGTGCAAGAAAACTTAATAACTTCAAGAATCTAAGTCCTGGCACACTGGCAAAGGGTCTCAGTCATTCCCTTTGTAGATCCAGATGTATACAACTTCAGGGAACTGGCAAGTATGCCTGCTGGCTGCTGCAACCCGGGGACTAGATCTGGAGCTAACAACGGATGACACCGACAAATGTGTGAAGTGGAATGTATTTCCAAAAATCTGCACCAATAGTTTGTTGCTGTGTCAAGAGGAATTTTAATAAAGGCAGCCCTCAGTATAGGTGACTCAGTTAAAGAACAGGTTGGCAGTAGTGGGGGGGGGACACTTTACACAGCATTATGTAGTTGTTTAGAATGGAGTGAATCTTTGAGAGAATGTTTTCAAAAGACTTTAGAATGTTTCCAAACTTACTGTAATTGAAGCCAGTGATTTATTTGATTTACAATCCAGTAAATGGACTTTGGTTAAGTGAAAAACAATTTTCCCTGACAAAGTTCAAATGTGATGGGAGAAGAGATACAGTTATCTAATCTGCGAAAGAACTAGTTAGAATGTACTTTGCATCCCCACATATGGTTGACGGGCAGTGTCACCTCCCTACACATTCTAAATTCACTTCCTTTTAACTCACCAGGGACAGTCAGTCCTTGCAGTAGGGGCAGGATAAGTAACAGAGTCAAAGAAAACTTTAAGGGGAATGTATAACACAATGGACTCTTCCCTATCACTTTTATGGCCCCAGTTGTATATATGTTCTTCTCTCTGCTCTGTTCCAATTCTGATTCTGATTTCTAATGAAGTCAACTGTACCCAATAGGGTAAAAGGTTATTTAAGGGTCTCTGTTGGAGACTATTGAAAAATTGAGCTAAGACACAGGAAATCCCCATAACCACAATTATAGGGTAGATGGAGAGGGCTAAAATAGTCTAGTAAAGTAAGTCCTAACAAAACAAATCCCACACCTGTTACCTATGCCCAAGACCTACAAAGGTTCAAGGCAATCATCTATTGTTCTGAAAGAATAACCAAGCTGTGAAGAATAAGATGGCTACCTAATTAAAGGAGAGGTTGGTAGTAAAGCATATTTTAAAAAAGGGAAAGAATGACTAAGGGAACAAAACTAAAGCACCATTTCCTCTGCAACAATAACGAAGCAATACAACAGTGAAGATGCACTAAAAATCCATGTACTGGGCGCTCCCGGGGGCAGGGCTGGAGGGGAGGCCAGGAGCGGGATCCACTGGGAAAGTAGTAAGAGCATACACCCACTGGAAATGCCAGGGAGGAGATGAACTTAAGGTAAAGAGTATTTCCAGACGAACCTAGAAAGTGGGCCATGTAAGCACACAAGAAACACTTCTGGGGATGATGGACATTTTCATTAGCTTAACTGTCATGATAGTTTCACAGGTATATACATGTCAAAACTTAATAAACTATACAATTTAAGTATGTGTAGTGTATCTGCATGTCAATCAGACCTCAATAAAGCTGTTAAAAATTTTAATGAAATCAACATAGACTTGGTTTCACAGCAAGAATCAATAGTTCCCTTGAAAACATTCTCTCATCTTTAACTGGAAGCTTAGAGAGCAAAATGAAAAAGAAAAATTCAGTCTGACAGACCCAATTTCTTTAAGAGTTGCAAAACAAAACAGAAAGTTCACAGTGGCTAATCCTGGAAATTAGTCCCCTCAACCCCACGGGGGCGGCAGGCACACGGCACTGCTGGGTCCACCTCCTGGCAGGTTCGGCTGCTCCACACGCCTGCCTCCAGAGTCCCCAGTCCCTTTACTCCCCTAGCCACCCAGGACCAGCCTGAGGTGCTGGAAAGCCTCAGATGGCAGCTTCCCAGCCACCCAGGGCCAGTTGAGGCTTGCGCTGCCGGCAGTGGCAGCAGCAGAGGTGTGAAGGGGATGTTGCCTCCCTGATTGCCAGGCCACCTCTCGCCCCTGAGGGCTCCCAGACTGTGAGAGGGGGCAGGCCAGGCTGAGGAACCCCCTCCTGTGTGTGAATTTTCATGCACCGGGCCTCTAGTTAAGTTATAAAGCATTCCCATCACCCCCCAAAGTTCCTCGTGCCCCTTTGCAGGCAAATGCCTTCTAAAAAACACATGAACAAACACACACACACCTTCTTCTTCACCTCCTGATTTCTGTCCCTTTTCAGAATGTCATATAAGTGAAGACATATAGCATGTAGCCTTTCTTATCTCTGACTTCTTTCACAACCAGTCTTACAAAGAAGCAAATATCTTAGAATGACCAGCCAGCGAACTGCTGCTTCCAAAACAAGTTCCAAAAGCCCAATATAGGAAAATAATTATGTAAGAGATACCACTTACGGGAGTGGGATGGTAATAACCACATCATTCAATTCTAAATTATCTTCTTGTAGCTCATATTCTATGTTGACATCACAGCCATTTCCACTCTCTGAGGGCCAGCAATTAACTGAGGAGAGAAGCAAAGCAGACATACTAGAACATTAAAAAGAGTAAAGTTCAGATGGCAAATCAAAGCGGACAGCTGTGGACTTAAAACATCTGAATGTAAACTATTTAAATAACAGTTGTGACATTAAAACCACTAAAAACATAAAGCCAATGATTTAAAACACAGTGCAGCAGGTCCTTTTCTCAAAGAGGATCTGTGCCGGCAAGGGAGAGGAGAGTGTAAGCGGGCTATTTCTAGTTCTCAATGCAGATGAATTTAGTGGGAATGGCCAGAGGCACTTACTTGTCAGTGGAATAAAGGACTCCTCTGTGGTTTGTAGTCTCCACTTTAGCACCCCTACGTCACTGTTGACTGGAAATGACTTCTCTGGATTTTTCAAGCCAATTAGAGATTCTGAAGTGAAAAGTTTTTTATCTACATTTGGATGGGTCTGAAATGAAAAGTGAAAGAGTCTGAGGCTTAGACATAAGAGAAAATAAATTTCCTCTGGTCCTCCATGGCTCATAATAGAAACATCTCAAATAGAGTGCCTAAAACATTCCAATTCTTTTTTAATTAGAAAAAAACATATATCTCCCTTTACTGCTTTTTAGAGAGAGAGAAAGGGAGGGGAATAGAGAAATAGAAACATCAGTGAGAGCGAAACATCATCGACCAGCTGCCTCCTGCATCTCCCCCGCAACCCCCCTATCCTGAATGGGGATTGAGCCCACAACCAAGGCATGTGCCCCAACCAGGAAGCAAACCAGCAACCTCTTGGTCAATGGGTGGGCAACGCTCAACCACTGAGCCACACCAGCCAGGACAATTCTTTTTTCTTTTTAAAATATATTTGTATTGATTTTTTTACAAAGAGGAAGCAAGAGGGATAGAAACATCAATGAATTGCCTCCTGCATGCCCCATACTGGGGATCAAATCTGCAACCACCGTACATGCCCTTGACCAGAATTGAACTCAGGACCTTTTAGTCCTCTGGCGGATGCTCTATCCACTGAGCAAAACTGGTCAAGGCTCTTTTTTATTTTAAAGAAAGGTTTCACTTCCTTAAAGATTTTTAAAATTTAAGACATATAAAAAATATTTTTTAAAAAAAAGTGACTTCAATTCTCAGCCATTTTATTTGTAACTAAACAAGTTAATAATTTTTAATTGAGGAAGTTAAAGACCTTTAACCAAGTCCTATCCAAAAAATACTTCAGAGGGAGCATCCTCAGGGTGGGGATAAGCTTGCCAAGTAAAAGACTGGCTGGTGTGGCTCAGTATCCCCTGTGCACTGAAAGGTTCAAGGTTAGATTCCTGGTCAGGGCACATGCCCAAGTTGCAGCTCAACCCCAATAGGGACCATGTAGGAGGCATTGGATCAATGTTTCCCTCACGGTGATATATTTCTCTCTCTCTCCCCAAAATCAATAAAATATATTAAAAAACAAACATACAAACAAAACTAAGGGTCACATGTTGATCAACTGCCTCTGTCACATAGCAGTCCTGGCTTTATACTAAAGAAGCCAGAGAGGAAATACCTCTGTGGAAAGTTTAGTTGAAATCTTGCCCAGAGCACTAAATTCAGGCCAAGATGGGCTAATCTTTTAAAAAGAAGTAATACCCCTGGCTGGTTTGGCTCAGTGGATAGAGCATCAGCCTGCGGACTGAAAGGTCCCAAGTTCGATTCTGGTCAAGGGCATGTACATTGGTTGCGGGCACATCCCCAGTGGGGGATGCGCAGGAGGCAGCTGGTCGATGTTTCTCTCTCATCGACGTTTCTAGCTCTCTATCCCTCTTCCTTCCTCTCTGTGGAAAATCAATAAAATATATTTAAAAATAAGTAATAATAATAAAAATAAATAAAAGGAAGTCATTGTAGGAGAGAAAAGGGAAAATAAACTTTTGGGTAACAACCTACATATATTTTAAGAGCCAGGAAAAATGATGTCAAATAATAGAAACACTACTTCAGAACACAAAGTTGACAAAAACAAATCTTTCCCGAAGAATATATTCTTGTGATAAGAGATATAAAATCAACCAGGTAAAGAAAATGTGTCAAGAACAACTGTAATAATATAAAGGACATCACATACATATTCAATTAGGTGGACATTCCTAAGCATTTTATGCCATTAGATACTGCCCTTCAGATGACAAAACAAGTACCGGTAGTTAAAACAGGGCAGAAAGAGTAAATCTGGTATCTTAATCTGTTTTAATAAAATACTTCCTTATTAAGTTTAAAAACTTTAAAAAAAAACGAAAAAAAAAAACACCACTGTATTTCAAATAATATCCTAAATAATTTTACTCTTTACATAACAGTAACAGATAAGTGTCTCTCTGTTCCTTTGTTAGTATGAAACCATTTATTAGATTTTACTTTTTTATTAGATTTTAAAATGACTTTCTATTCAATTCCAATATTAAAAGGCCATTTTAGAAGCTGCTGTCAAAAAAAAAAAAAAATACACCTGCTGTCAATCACAGACGGCTAAAGAGATTTATTGCCTCAAGCACCCAGTATATGCAATAAATTAACTTCTTACCTATGCATCTAGAATGGCACTAGCTGTACAACTGTAATAATTTTCTGTGTTCTGTGGTTCATATGAGGAACTCCAGTTGGGATGACTGTATTAAGTAGACAAACAAAAGTCTTAAAACTCCCTTATCAAAAGTCTCTACACACCTGTAGCTGCACCCCTTTCTTATCTTCATTTTCCACATGAAGACGAATTCGGCCAAATTTATCATCTGAGATCCTAAGCATGATCATGCCATGCAACTCCATATTCTGTAATCCTCCATCCCGGCCACAGGTTAGTGTGATTTTTTCCTCAATCTTCATGTGCACGCTACAAAGAAAAGTAGTACATTTGTTCAAGAAGGTTGTAGGTGATTAGCCATCCACAACTTATTTTAAGGTGCTGCTGCTATATATACAGGGTGGGGAAAAAGCAGGCCTACAGCTGTGAGCACACAAATCAGTTTGTTCTTGCATTATTTATTTAATTTTAAATATATTTTTATTGATTTCAGAGAAAAAGGGAGAGGAAGAGAGATAGAAACATCATGATGACAGAGAATTGGCTGCCTCCTGTACGCCCCATTCTAGAAATCAAGCCTACAACCTGGACATGTACCCTAACTGGGAATCAAATTGTGACCTTCTGGTTCATAGGTCAACATTCAACCACTGAGCTACACCAGCTGGGCAATTATTTATTAATTACTGTATTATTTTCCATATGAAAAACTGTAAACTTACTTTTGTCCTGCCCTGTATGTATCAAAATTTAAAGCATTATACTCTCAATTCAGTAATTCATCCTACAGATAAATTCTTACCCATGTAAACAATACAGTAAGTTATTCACACACACATACACACACACACACACACACACACACGCACGCACGCACGCACGCACACACACAAAAATTGCTTGTAATAGCAAAAGTTTGGAAACAATTCAAATGCCCATCAATAGAGCAGGGCTTAAATATATACCCACAAAAATGAGTATTAGGCAGTTGTGAAAAAAGTGGATGACCACTTAAAAAGCTTCTATTTTAAAATAATTTCAGAAAAAGAAAATAATTTCAAATATTAAAATCGTACCAGGAATACACGTATAGTCCTTTTATCCACTATTAATATCTTATCCCATTTGTTTTATCATTTGCATACTCTCTCTCTATAAATACTGTATTTGATTTTTTTCCCCATGACCAGGTAATATACATCATGGCCTTTCCCCCTAAATACTTAAGATACATTTTTTAAGAATATGAATATTCTGCCCTAACCAGTTTGGCTCAGTGAATAGAGTGTCAGCCTTCAGACTCAAGGGTCCCAGGTTCGATTCCGGTCAAGGGCATATACCTTGGTTGTGGGCACATCCACAGGAGGGGTGTGCAGGAGGCAGCTGATTGATGTTTCTCTCTCATCAATGTTTCTAACTCTATCTCCCTCTCCCTTCCTCTCTGTAAAAAAATTAGCAAAATCTATTTTTTTAAAATTAAAAAAATATATATATATTCTTTTACATAACCTTCGTACTGTTATTAACTTCACACATTTATACTGGTACAATACTTTTATCTAATGGACCATCTATATGCCAATTTAGTCCTAACTGACCTAATAACGTCCTTTAAGAAGTAGTACAAGATCCAGTCTAAGGTAAGGCAATGCATTTCGATGTCGTTTCTAGAGTTTCAAATTAAGGAAATTCTCATCTCCAAAATAATCAAGTGAAAAAAGCAACTGGAAAATGTCTTTTACCCAATCACTTACATTTAAAAAGGAGAAAACAGACTATGAGTATTTTTATTCATCTATATATAGTCTATTCCCCTCAGAAACATATACACAAAAAAATAGGTAACCCCTAGCTGGTTTTGCTCAGTGGATAGAGCATCAGCCTGCAGACTGAAGGGTCCTGGGTTCAATTCAGGTCTAAAGCACATGCCCAAGCTGTAGGTACCATTCCCCGGTGGAGGCATGCAGCAAGGTATGTGCCTTGATGAGGAATCGAACTTCAATTCATAGGTCAAAGCTCAACATTAGCCACATCGGCCGGGCAAAAGGTAAGTTTTATACTTCACTGAAAATAGATAGCTGAGAGGCCCTAATCATGGTTGAAGTAAAAAATAAAAATTAAATTAAATTAAAAAAAGACCATGTTAAAAACCTAAACTATACTCTAGATAAGTCTTTTATACCTGGAAAAATTAAAAGACAAAAAGAATTTACAGTGCATTGAAATCAAGATTTTTAAACATTATGTGGTTCTTTTTACTACTTACCTTTCCATGTTAATGGGTGGGACATACACCTTGGTGGATTCAGAGGTGCGCTTGCCCATACTGGAGGACATGATGGTTTCACCTTCAGATTTCAATTTGTCCACAAAGTTATCTACTTCCTTTCCTTTGGCTCCAAGTTTCAAAGCCTTGCTGGGGCCTGAAGGCCTAAGTGGAAGAATACAAAATAAGAAGATACACCTTAATTTAAAAAACCCCACACAATTAATTAATAACCCTCTATCTTTGAAGCTTTCTCTGAAGCTGTACTTTAAGAGGAATGTGAAGAACTCAAGGGGAAAACCCAAGTGACCTAGTAGTTAGTAGACTAGACTATTCCCTGCCTGAACTGGCAGCTGAGTTACTATTACTATGTAAGCTTGAAGGCCCTGAAGACCAAAGCTATACTTTTATAAGCATGCATAATCTGATGAAAACTTTGTATCGTCCAACCAGATAAATACACCTGATAAATACTTTTACATATAACTTCATGCAGTCACAAATTCTCCTTGAAATCCATTCATGAACTCCAGATGAAAAATCCACATTCCTGCCCTGGCCGGTGCTCAGCCCTCCACTGAAGGTCTGCGGTTCACTCCCTGGTAAGGGCACAGACCCGGCCCCACTCAGGGATCATGCAGGAGGCAAGCAATCAATGTGTTTCTCTCACATTGTTGTCTGTCTGCCTCTCTCCCTCTCCATTCCTCCCCTCTCTCTCCCTCCGCCCCTCTCTCGCCTCCTCCCTACCTCCCACTCTAACTATCAAAGGAAAATATATCCTCGGGTGAGGATTAGCTAGAATAAATAAAAATAAAATTTTAAAACCAATATTCCATAAACAGTTAAATTTCTCTCCTCTCCCCAAAATAGGACAACTCTCAGTGGAAACTGAGGTCACGGTATAATTTAAAAAATAACTGTTTTGTACAAAAAGAAACCATCACATTCAGATTTTTCCTTTATCCCCATATAACAAATTCAGTATTACGTCTTACTCCATCAAGTCACTCATTATTTACAGCTTGCCTAAAAATCTGCTATCACTCCAAAGAAGACATGCACAGCCTGCACCTGCCGTTCCAGGGCTGCGGTGACCACGGGAGTACCTGGCTGGCGCAGGGGCCACTTTTGGTTTATCAGTCTCAATGATAGTCTCTGTGATCATGGTGGCTGTGCTGCCTCCAGAGACTGTGGAACTTCCAAATCCCCCAAATCCTGGTGCTTTCTTGCCCAGTCTCTCTGCATCTCTTCGGGCCTGTTGCAATTCCTTGGCTTTGCGCCGCATCTCAGCCTTGGCCTCACGCTCCTGAGTCTATGAAAAGAAACATACGTATATGGATGTGGCTTGCAGTAGTCTATACAACAAATAAAAACAGGAAAATCAGATAGTGAAGATAAACGGAAGACATACAAACCAGCAGTCCCAGAGGAGAAACTATTTACCTCTCTGACTGCTCTGAACACCTTCTCCTCATGAGAATCCATTTCTGTGAAGGTTCTGATCTGTGCCAGGTTAACATTCTCCCGGTATCCCAGCGCAACAATTTCGTCAAAAGCAAATATCAAATCAAAACAGTGATCAGATATTTCATTCTCCTCTAAGGCTCGGCAATATTCAGGGATCTAATCACAGATGGGATAGAAAGATTATCAGCAGTTATATTTTTCAGGTCTTACTCTTTAAAGTACACAAATTTCAATAAACCCGAATCCCTTCATTAGCTCCTTCTACTCTATTTTCAGCAAGTCTTTGGCATAAAGTCTTTATGTATATCTAATGAATGTCTTTTTTGTGTGTGCTTCGAAAGTTTTTCCATACTTCAGATTTTATTGGTTGTTTTGAGGATATGTACAGACATTACAATTCGTATACCATTCTTAACATAATCACATAGTTGTGATTCTTTTCTAAACAGCTATTCCAGTAACGTTCCAGCTTAAAAATTGGAAGCTAATTTGCCTTAACAGAGTAGCAAGTACCAGTATCTTCAAATGTTGATATGCTGTTAACGCCAAAGTCCCACAAATTCACAATTTAATATCATATACACTAAGTCAAATTCAAATCTTTCCCAGCACATTAACAGTTACTAGGGAAGATGTTACAGATGCACAAAATTCTGACAAGGAGAGCCAAGAGATCAAGGAGTGGTTTTCTTTAGGAAACAGTCAAACCAAAAACATGGGAAGAGAATTTTAATATTCAAGACATATTAGCCCGGGCGGTGTGACTCAATGTTTGAGCATCAACTCACACATCAGGAGGTTACTGGTTCAATTTTGGGGTTGCGTGCTCCATCCCCAATAGGGTGTGTACAGGAGGCAGCCAACAGATGTTAATGTTTGTTCCAAAAAACAACCAGCAAATTATTTCACCTCTTAAAAAAAGCATTTACACTTAAAAAAATTGGATGAGGTAGAAGTCCCTCCTTCTTAATAAGTGTTTCTAGGGCTATTAAAAAACTTGCATTTACAAAATAAGTGATAAAAAATATTCCTCTGGATTGTGCAAGAAGGGAAGACAGGAGCCCTGATGCGACCGGATATACGATGTCCATCGGCCCTGGCTGCTTCCTCTCCCGCTTCTCCGGGCTGGGCTCTCCTGGTTTCCTGCTGTAGATCTTCTTTAGGGTTCTGGTCAGCCACTTCGGCCAGTTATCCCTTTGCTCCCCTTTTCCCTTTTGTTTGCACTCTTTTGTCTGAAGATTTATCCTTTCCTGCCACCATCTTTGGCTTCATTTCCACGTTTGCAGGAGTAGGTTTAGCTGACAAGCTCGCTGACCTCCCTCTTGGGCATCATGGTGGGGGCCACAGCATGGGGAGAGCCTTTGCAAACCTGGGCTGCCTGGCCACTGCCTAGTAAGTCTTATCTAAAGTGCATTATCCAATAATTCAGCCAAACAAAGGCAGATTAAAGTAACTGCTTAAGAACTAGGAAAGGGCCGAAACCGGTTTGGCTCAGTGGGTAGAGCGTCAGTCCAAGGACTGAAGGGTCCCAAGTTCAATTCCGGTCAAGGGCATATACATTTGTTGCGGGCACATCCCCAGTGGTGGGGGGGTGAGATAGGGAGGAGTGCAGGAGGCAGCTGGTCGATGTTTCTAGCTCTCTATCCCTCTCCCTTCCTCTCTGTAAAAAATCAGTAAAATATATTAAAAAATAAAAATAAAATAAAAACTAGGAAAGGAAAGTCCCACATTCTCTTTGGGAACTTATGGCTTAGAGGACGCTCAGTAGACGTTTGTTGAGTGAACAGAGCCAGCAGCAGTAAGCTGCTGGGGAGGGCTGAGGGAGCATGGAGCGTGCCATCTGTTGCTTTGGGTAAAAATAGTTTCACACAGAAAACTTAAAACTACTATTACCGAAGGACTCTTACCACTCTTGAGAAGAGCCTGAGGGTTTCCAGGTCCTCTAAGATGTTACTGTTTTTGGTAGTGATCAGTACCATGTACAGCTTCTCCATAGGCTGGTAGACATATCTCACACTCTCTGTTTCAACAAATGTATGTTGTTTGCCAGTGTTCATGAGCTTTGGAAAAGCTGCTAACAAGCCCTCAATGCGAGTCCGAGTCATCTCCACAAACTGCCGGGAAACAATGGCCTTTCCCGCTTTGGTGCAGACTGCTGCTGCCAACAGCACCTGCCGGTGACACAGGAACAAAGGAGGGCCGGTTAGCTATCTCTTCACATCTGTTTTCTCAACATTCTTCCATCTTCCACTGAATGGCACACTCAGATCTTACTCACATAACTACTATTAGAATGACTTTCAAACTCTACCTCATAGTTCTTTTCATTACAGTAATTCATAAGACAAAATTAAACTAGAGGAAAATGAAGCTGTTATTTCTATATTTCAGTAATATACCTAAAGCATACGTAGTAAAGAAATAATTTTTTCCAAATCTATAAATACATGAATGGACTTCCTGTGACTCCAGACTGGGTTGCTCTCTGCTTGGGCAGGCTCATAAAGTTAGCCCTGGCCAGGTAGTTCAGTTGGTTACAGCATCATCTAGCCACACGAAGGTTGCAGGTTTGATTCCTGATCAGGGCATATACAAGAATCAACCAATGAATGCATAAGTAAATCAAACAATGATTCTCTCCCCCTTCCTCCCTTTCTCTAAAATCAATACATTAGCCCTAACTGGTTTGGCTCAGTGGATAGATCATCAGCTTGATGACTGAAGGGTCCCAGGTTTGATTCCTGTCAAGGGCATGTACCTTGGTTGAGGGCACATCCCCAGTAGGGGGTGTGCAGGAGGCAGCTGATCAATGTTTCTCTCTCATCAATATTTCTAACTATCCCTCTCCCTTCCTCTCTCTAAAAAAAAAAAAATCGGGGGAGGATCCAAGATGGCTGCTCGGGTAGACATCTAGCCGCGGCAGCACACAACAATTTCAATGGAATACAACTAAAATGTAGAGTGGACATTGCCCAGAGCTACAGGTAGTCGACTGACTGAAATTTCTACAACAAGAAGGAAAGAGAAAACCAGAAAGAAAATCAGAGGAGCTGAAAAAAAGCCTAAGGTACGGAGACATGCTGCGCGCCCGCCCGCACGCGCGCACGGAGAGGTCGCAGCCGGAGAGGAGGAGAGGGCGGGGTGCTGCCGTTCCTTCCCTAGCAGGAAGGAAATAAAACCCCCAGCCTGGGCTGAACCCCCGAACCGGCAGCGCTGAGCCCCCCGAACCGGCAGCGCTGAGCCCGTTATGGGCCAGCCCCTGGGGACCCAGGCTCCGGCGGGAGGAGACGGGGCTGTGAGGCGGAAAAATGGCGAAAAGCAGGGCCCCGGGAGTCGCGCGCAATGCGCGCGCAGAGGACTGAATGTTGACTCTGAGGCTGGGTTGCCCTAGCCGGAAGAAACAAGGCCTCCCGCGGCGGTGAGCCTCAGTCCGGACTGCTCCGAACCCCAGTTCTGGGCTAATCCCTGGGGACCCAGGCTCAGGCAGAGGGAGACGGGACTGTGAGGTGGAGTCCGGGGAGAGCGGCGAAAGGCCGGGCCCCCGGGACTCGCGCAAACTGCGCGCAGAGGACAGTCTGTGGGACTCGCGCAAACTGCGCGCAGAGGACAGTCTGTTGACACTGATGCTGGACTTCTCTAGTGGGAAGGAGAAAAAAAAAAAGCTCTAGGCTGGGGGAACTCGGAGGGGAGCGGAAGCCCCTGCCGGACTCCAGCCAACCGGGCACCAGCAAGGAGGCGGGCCACGGGGCCCCTGGGGGCATGGGTGCCCCTGAGCCTTTGACCACTGAGCTCGGGCAATGGAGCCAAGGCCGTGGGCTGCTTCCTGGGCGGCACCGTCCCGGCAACAGGCTGAAGCAGCGCAGGAGCCCGCGGAGAACAAAGGGGTGCCACAGGCCAACCTGCTGAGCTCCCGGGACAAGGAGGAAGAAACCAAAGAAGTTCTCAATGTGAAGAAATCAAGTGAGAGCAAAAAATAGTAAAATTACTTAAGAAAGAATACAAAAAGATCTTGAAATATCAAAGACTAAGTCAGAACTCAACTCACCAGCCAACATTGCAACATAAATGCGTTTTAAAAAGAAAAAAAAAAGGACAGAATGTTGGAACAGCGGCGGCCAGGCCTAGAGTGGCCAGGCACAAGGCAGTGGCAGCCAGACCCGGAGCAGCAACGGCCAGGCCCCAGAGCAGCAGCAGCCAGAACCAGAGCATCAACAGCCAGCACTGGAGCAGCCAGGCATGAGGCGGAGGCGGCCAAGCCCAGGGTGGCCAGTCCAGGAACACCCAGACCCGGAGTGGCCAGGCCCGGAGAAGCCGGGCCCAGAGCAGCCGGGGTGGGAGCAGCCAGACCCAGAACAGCAGTAGCCAAGCCCAGAGCATCCAGGTCGGGAGTGGCCAGGCTCGGAGCGGCCGGGCCCGGGGCAGCCGGGCCCAGAGCAGCCGGGTCAGGTGCGGCCAGGCCCGGAGCAGTGGCTGCCAGGCTGGGAGCGGCCAGGCCTGGGGGAGCAGGCGGGTCGGGTGCGGCCAGGCCCGGAGCAGCAGCAGCCAAGTCCAGAGCAACTAGGTCGGGAGCGGCAGTGACCAGACCCGGAGCAGCTGGTTGTGGAACGAACCAGAGCAACAGAGGCCAGGCCCTGAGCAGCCAGGCCCGGAACAGCTCGCTCCTCGCCTGCCCCTGCCCCACGGCTGCCTCTCAGACATGGCTGGAAACTTTCGTGGGAACTTGAGGGTCTGCTGAATCAAGTGATGAAGGCTTAGATCTGGATGTGTTGAGTTAGTTTAGGACTGGGGTGTTGATCTGTGAGTGCCTTGGGTGGGGCCTGGATGAGGCTGGTTGACCTATTGGGAAATGTCTTTTGTGAGAAGTGTATCATTGGGCATGTGGAGGTATTATTGATATGAGAAAATGCTAAGTAACTGATTTACTATCTGAAAAGGGATTTACTATTGGGGAAATTGAGGGAAGAAGAGACTGAACATAAACTGCACCTATGGATGATGACAATGGGGGATGGGGAGGGGGCAGAGGGTGGGGTGGGAACCTGGTGGAGAGGGGAAGAAATGAGGAACCTTTGTAATAATATGAACAATAAAGATTGATTTAAAAAAAAAATAAAAATAAATAAAATAAAAAAATAAAAATAAATAAATAATAAAAAAATCAATAATATATATATATATATTTTTTTTTTAAACATATCTTATTGATTTTACACAGAGAGGAATTGAGAGGGATAGAGTGTTAGAAACATCGATGAGAGAGAATCATCGACCAGCTGTCTCTTGCACACCCCTGACTGGGGATGTGCCCGCAACCAAGGTACGTGCCCTTGACCAGAATCGAACCTGGGATCTTTCAGTCCGCAGGCCGATGCTCTATCCACTGAGCCACACCGGTTTAGACGCAAAAAAAAAAAAAAAATCAATATATTTTAAAAATAAAATCAATGCATTAAAATTTTTTTTAATGGCTTAAGCTTTTTTTAAGAAGAACAGAGATTTCCACAGTCAAAACAGAGGTCTGATCACAGACTAAAGGTTTAAGACGATCCTAGCCTTTGTTTTCATTTTTACGTATAACATGGAACCAATCTAGCAAGTTTAAATTTATCTCCTGCTCTTTGGTTAATTTTCCCATCCCACACTATCCTACTACAGATATGTAAACAATCTGTAAAATGAAAATCTAAATGACTCAATGCTCACACAGGTTTTGTCACTGGGCAATGATCAAGACCAACAGCCACTTTTGGAGTCTGGCATTTCATTAAACAAAACAAAGGAAGCACCAAAGGAAGATGAGGAGCACTCTGATGCCATTGATGGGGGAGTAAGAACGTTACGTACAATGTTTACAGTCTTTCTGGTGAGGGAACTCAAAAATTCACAAGTACAAGTAACAAAAAGACTATTTACACATCAGAAAGTTCCTCGAGTAAAGAAACAAGGAGAATTAGGTTTCTGTTATGCTCTGCCACTAATTATATGACCTTGAATAACTCACTTAATCGCTTCTTGAAATAGCCCTAAATTAGAGGTTAGCTTATATGAAATCCAACATGCCTTTGCATCTTTGACATTCCAAAAGTCTGAGTATTTGGAAACTTTACAGCAACAGAAAATGTACGATATCTCCACTTCACACACACTGCTCCAAGAGTAACTACTTTGGAACCTATTTTACAGTAATGTTAAGCTGCTAGATGGCAAATTGCCTAACGGAAACAAATCATGTGTGAATAGTATTTGTGTGGGATAGAGATGGGTGCCTATCATCCCTTCATCCTACCAGTAACAGCAGTCTAAGAATAACAGGTAGTAATTAGTCATAAATATATGCACAATTCTCTAAAGAAAAAATGTCAAGGACATTCTCCAACCCCTAATTGCTTCAGTATTCCTCACTTCCAGAATTAAGTGGCCACTTTCTCCATCATAATTCATGATCATATTAAGGATAGTTACTATAATTGTCATAGAGGACCATTTGGTCTTTATATGAAGTAATCACAGATTTTAAAAAAAAAAAGGGGGGGGGGGGAGATTAAGGCCGAAACCGGTTTGGCTCAATGGATAGAGCGTCGGCTTGGGGACTGAAGAGACCCGGGTTCGATTCCGGTCAAGGGCATGTACCTTGGTTGCGGGCATATCCCCAGTAGGGGGTGTGCAAGAGGCAGCTGATCGATGACTCTCCCTCATCAATATTTCTAGCTCTCTATCTCTCTCCCTTTCTGTACAAAATCAATTAAAAAAAAAAAAAAAAAGGGAAGATTAAAATAAAATCCAGACTATATACAAAACCTACAACTAGAAAATTTACTCAGTGAGAGTTTTAAGCTAATCACAAGTTTTTGTTCTGAAACAAAAGCTTGTAGGGAACAATAATAATAGGACATCATTCTTAGCTTCTACAGTGAATTTCCTATTTGAATAAATAAATGGCAAATCAGCAGAAACTCAAAAAAATCACTTTAATTTTTTTGTTGTCCTCTCAAATAATAAAGATACATCAAGAATACAATAGCCGAAACTGGTTTAGCTCAGTGGATAGAGCATCGGCCTGGGGTCTGAAAGGTCCCAGGTTCGATTGCGGTCAAGGGCAGGTACCTTGGTTGCAGGCACAACCCCAGTGGGGAGTGTGCAGGAGGCAGCTGATCGATGTTTCTAGCTTTCT